AGCCTGCTTCGCTATGCTCCTGAGCTACAACTTTTGCTGCCCCACTCTGCTGTCTGCTGCCTGTGGCTGGCTCTGCCTATCTTGCCTGAGGGCAGACTCTGTCTGTTTCCTTGACCTTGTTCTGGCAGCCCACCTGAGTTGAAGGACCTTCAGTATATTAACTGTTCCATGAAAGTGAGTTAAACTGAGCCCTCTGTATTGCTGTGTGAACTAGTTAGCTATTCTATTGTGTGTGTGTGTGTGTGTGTGTGTGTGTGTGTGTGTGTGTAGACATGTGTTCTGGTTTTGTTTCTTTAGAGAACCCTGCCTAACACAATCTTATTTTAGAACTCTTAAGTTACTACAATAATGTCTTGTAATTTCCCTTGCACATACCTGCACATATATTGATATACTGTTTTACACACTCACCATTTTTCCATAACTCCTCATTATTTCACTTAACATATCAGTATGCATGGATTCATCTCATTCCTTATAAATACTAATCAGAGGGATCTTCAAAACATTCGTGGAAAATTGGAACTAAAAGAAAAAAATTTTAAATATAAACTTTCTCAACAAAAGATCGATCAAGGTCAACACACTCTTGTAAGTACAATCATCCGTTTGGCCCATCCCTAAAGAACTGAGGGTCCTGGGAATTTATCCACATCAATACAGTCTTTTTTTTATACTACTAACGGAAGATAAAGAATTATTAAGATTAGGCATCAAACAGAAGTCAGAAATGAGAACCATAAGGCAGATGTCTCATGTTTACCTACCTAAACTCTCATAACCTTGTCCTTGTTTGATGAGAGCAAAACCACCATCATGATGGCGAAGTTCTTTTCAGGATGCTTTCCTGCTAAAGTTTTGATGACGTTTCTCAAAACACTCTCATAATAAGCAGATACTATAGTTCTTTTGGAGGAGCCTTGGTGATGTATTGGGTTACGAGTTGGACTGCTAACCACAAAGTCAGCAGTTTGAAACCACCAACTGCTTGACCAGAGAAAGATGAGGCTTTCTACTGCCATAGTTACAGTCTCTTCTGAGACCCACAGGGACTGTTCGAGCCTGTCCTTATAGGATCGCTGAGTCTGAAACGACTCAATGCCAATGACTTGTTTGTTGAGTTTATTGTTATTTCAGAAGCACCGCGCAATGGATTATGCTGCCAGCAGCAGGGTCAGCAGTGTGAGTACACCAGCCACTCTCCAGGAGACAGATGAGTCAACTTGCTCACAATAAGGGCTGAAAGCCTCAAAAACGCTAGGGAGCAGTCCAGCACTGACCTATTGGGTCACAATGAGTTTGACTTGAGTCAGTGGCCTTGGGTTTTATCACGCTTTGACCTTCCAGAAAGTCAACAAGCAAAATGCCTTGAGCATCCCATAAAAACAGCATGACCTTGGTTTTGACTGACCACTTCTACCCCTAGGAGCCATTGTTTTGACTGTACTTTGTTTTGGGGATCACTAATAAAGCCAAGTTTCATCTCCTGTTACAATTCTTCCAAGAAATGTTTCAAGATCTGATCTCCCTTGTTTAAAATTATCCATTGAAATCCCTGTTTCTTGCCTGCAGCTGAACTGGCTGCAACAGTGACCCCCCAAGTGGAAGTTTGCACAACTTTAATTTTTCAGTCAGAATTGTGTGAAGCTGAACGAATTGTGATGTTTATTGTTTCTCCTGTTGTCAACCCTCTTAAATTAGTACCTGAACGTGATCGTTTCCTCACAAGTTGATGTGGGTATCCTGTTCTTGTCCTCTTCTTAAAGCAAGTCATCTATTTATAAACTGCTGATTTCTTTGTGGTATTGTCCCCACAAACTTTTCATAATGAATCAATGATTTCACCATTCTTCCACCAAGCGTCACCACAAAGTTGATGTTTGCTCTCGCTTCAAGTTTGGCAGAATTTGTGTTGTTCTGAAAGAGGCTTTTCTCAAACTGCTTTCTGATCTTCCTCAGTGCTTCAAACTGGGGCCAGTTCAGACTCGTTGTAACAACTGGTCTGTTGACTGCCCCCCAAAAACCTTGAAATTCATGCACACCTTTGATAATATGAATTTTCCATGAACTTTTTGAAGTCTCCTCATATTCTATTTTATGATGTAACACAATTTATTTAACTAGTCCTTTGTTAAGAGACATTTAAATTATTTTGTTTTTCTCTGTTATAAGGCTTCAATTAACATTCCTGTACAAATATCTTTATGTCCCTGAACAAGCATTTCCATAAGCTAAATTCCAAAAATATGTACACATTTATAAAATCTACTACTGCCAAATTACCAATTAAGTTTTACCAATTTACGCTCAAAGAGAACTTTTCTGATCTATATAGATCCTTCCCAACAGGATTTGCAAGCTTTAATCTTCTCTAAAGTGAGGCAAGTAATATAAAATGTATTGTACAATTATATATATATACAGTGAACCCTCGTTTATCACGGTTAATCGGTTCTAGACCCTACCGTGATAAATTCCGCGAAGTAGGATTCCTTGTCACAATGCGCTTTGCTTCCTTGTTGAAAGTGAAAGTAGCCGTAGCACGGATGTTTTTTTCTCTTCACGGATGGAGCGAACGGAAGACTCATTCAAGTCGAAATGGCGTGCAACCTCCACGATTTTCTTGCCATCTTTGATCATATCCAAAAGTTTTACCTTTTCCTGGATGGTGAGCATCTTCCTCTGGCGCTTATTTTTATTGTCAGAAGGCTTAGAAGAAGCAGCTCGTTTAGGAGCCATCATAGGGCTTAGATAAAATTTCTTAAAAATCGCAAACAATTACAGTACACTGTACAAAAGCAAAAATGCATCTGATACGTAGCTCCGATACGTAGCGATGCAGACAGAAGCGTGTACAGTATGAGCCTATCAGTGGCAGTAATGACAGAGCATGCGCTGTTACGCAAAAACCGCGATAGAGTGAAGCTGCGGAAATCGAAGCGTGAAGTGGCGAGGGTTCACTGTATATATATATATATATTTGTAAACCTAAAAGTTATACTCACTGTCACCGAGTCAATGCTGACTCATAATGACATAGGACAGGATAGAACTGCTCGGTGGGTTTGCAAGATTGTATACCTCATTATAGGAGTAGAAGGCCCTGTCTTTCTCCCTTGCAGGGGCTGCTGGTTTCAAACTGCTGACCTAGCAGTTAGCAGCCCAACACACAGCTATTATAGTACCAGGGCTCCTTCAAAATGACAGCAATGTAATATTTAAAGTCAGCTAACTATCTGAAAACACAGAAGGCAATGACCTTCTTACAATTAAACTTTAAATATTATTTTTTAATTTGTTTCATTTTTGGTAAATAATTTGAACCTTAACTTAGAATTAAAATTCACTTAAAATTTCTACGAATTCTTCATTTTTTCGTAACAAGCACACAAAAGGGGGAATCAATGATGTATTAGCAATCTTCAAATGTGTCAGCAGTGATTTCTGAGTACACAGGGGCAGTGTGGAATCACATTTCAAAAAAAAAACACAACCAATTTGGCTGTTTGGTCCTGCTTCCCAAGCCCCACCCAGGCGGAGCCTAGTTTGGCCAGGGGATCCTGTCCAGATGGCCCTTATCTGGTCTGGATGGGCAACCTCCCCCAGTAACTGATCTTTACCTGGATTAGCTGGGGCTCACTGAGAATCCATAAAAACCCTGGAACAAGAAATTGATAGGGTTTCAGGAATGGCACGCTGAGAGAGGAGCGTGTCTTTTGGACAGGAGGGCTCTGCATCTCTTCCCAGACTGAATAAAACTGCACTGGTGACAGAGGCAACACAGCGGCAGCGATGATACCAGAAGACACAAGATGCGCAGACCTAGAGAGCCAGAGTGTAAAAGACAAACCATGGCCAAGAACTCTTAACTTGCTGACAGCTGGGGCACCCAAGAAGGGACTGACTGTCCACAGAGCAGGGGCTGTGTGGAAGATGTTCTCTACCAGGAAGGACTGGGAACCAGCTGAGAGAAGCTGAGTCCCACCCCGTAACCCCCTCCGAGTGAATCACTGAGTTTCCTCTTTGAAAATTTCCTGATGGGTGAGGATGAAGATGTTTTCTGGAAGGGTAAGAGGATCTCCTCAAGAAACTGAGGGCCCATGCTAGGATCCTCTGGAACCTCACCGTGTATATCTCCATTTCGATTAATGTTCTGTTCAGCTTCTGTTATATTCAAGTTGTAGATTGGGTGATTCCCAACAACTGTTGCAATGAATTATCTAGCCCAGGGGATGGCAAACTTTTCAGATGGAAGAGTCAATCCTGTCCTACACAACATTTCAAAAATTATTCAAGTGCCATAAATACATTTTCACAAATGAAATAACCAGAGGGTGGGGTGGGGATCTCACTACCAGCAAGACCCAGCAGTGGTACATGTCCTCTGGACCTCAAAATCCCTGCACAGTGGGGTGCAGAGGACAGCTGTGACATCAGAGGAGCAGCAGCAGAGCCATGAGCCAGAGAGAGCATGAACAAAAGTAATGGGCTTCCACCCCACAGAGCAAGGAAAGACGAGTGCTGTAGGGCAGGAGACCGGCTTGCGGGATGGGGTGCCTCTGGGTATTTAATTGGGGGAGCTGGGCTTGCTCACCCAAGGAGGTAGAGCGTTGTGCCTTAAGGCTGTGGTTCACCTTAGTGCAGTGCCTTTGGGCACTTAATGTGGGGAGCTGGATCTACTAACCCAGGGAGCCTGAGCTGAGTATCTTCAGGTTGGGGCTTTCAGAAGAGCTGAAAGAACTCTGTAACATGTCCTGATAAACAACTCTATCCTGAGCATTTCTCATTTGCCCTGAAGCCTGTTAACTGTTTTAATACGTCCCTTAATCATGAGTAATGTTTCCGAGTGCTGTGTGACCACTGCAATAGATTACAGAACTCAGGAGCTGGAAAAGTAAATAGTGTTGTGAAGAACAGAGCATGCATGTCTAACTGTAACCAAATGCATTCTTCAAATGTGTCAATGATCTCACAAGCAAAACAATACTAATGAAAAAAAGTATGGTAAAATATTTTCTTTTAATTTTACCTTAAATATAAATTAAAATAAGGCATAAGAAACATTTTGTGACCACAATATATACATTTGGAAAACAGTCCATTAAAGGATGCAAATAATTCAGACAATATAGTGTAAGCTTTAATATATAAATTAGACATCATTTCCTCAGCTGTTAGTCACTCACAGTGGTCTAAACTTTATATATTAAAATATTAAAATGCTAAAAAACATCATTGCAATATAGATACAATGTGGGAAAATACATTATGTGTGACTTTATACACACCCTAAATCAATCCATTCTATACAATAGTTTTCCAAAATATAACTGGTACTTTACATGCAATACAAGGTGGGATGCTTTCTTATAATACATAGGAAAGTAAGGAGAAAACACCCTGTTAGCAAGACAACACATAGAAGCAGTGGAATGTAGAGTAAGATTTTGTCATAACACAATCTCAGGACAAAATTATGAAAATGGACCATTTCAACTACTTTCAATTAACATCTTAAAAAATGAAGTCTGTGATTATTTTTTTTCTAATTGAATCACAAACTGAGTAAACATAAAAGGGAAAAGGGAGACAGGGGAAAAAAAACAAAAAACACCCTGATCCTTATGAATTTCAAACACCAGCCCTGCCTATGGGCTACACTGAGGCCAATTTCCATTGAGAGTTCCCTAAATTACTTCTGCCGCTCTGAATTGTGCCTCGGCAGTCCAAAGAGCCTTCCAGGCTTCCTCATGCCATTGTATAACCATAGCTGCCGCAATGCAGTGCCACAAGAAGTCTGTCCTTGAGTATCTCTTTACTTGGATATTCAGGTAACTTGAGCATGTTGATACTTAAAAAAAAAAAATTACCATTAAATAGGGAATTTCTGAATTGTCTGATTGTTTTGTGTAGCAATGAAAATAAAACTCAATAATGAACATAAAACTACCCTGCCAAATTTGCATTCAAATTAGGAAACTTTGCATTGTATTAAAAAGAAGCAAACAGAGCCTTGGGCGGCAATGCAGTCTCCACTACCATGCAAATTTAGTCCAAGAAACTCTTTTCCGCTTAAAATAAATAAATAACACAATCATTTGGAAACCTCCATAAAACTTGAACTAGATTCCAATAAATTACATGTATTTAGGGTTTTCCCACAATATCTGCCATATAAAATACACAGGAGAAAGAAACAACATAGCTACCTACTAATCAGTGATCCTAAAATCCTACACAAGATCTGACTTGAGGTTTCCTCTGAATAAAGTAGTACAGAAGTCACTGACCATTCAAATTCAGTAAAACAACTGAACTTACCATGTGCTTGAAGTTGGCAGAAGATTGGGAGTATACGGCACTGCGGCAATTGTAAAGTTCTGCAATCCACTTCCACCCATGATATTAGCAAACCCACCATGTGGAACCCTGGAACTGAGTTCAGATCTGAGTAAGTGGTAATCATGAAAGTATAATCTTTGTGCTACATGTTTCAGGTTCCATGGATAAAACTCTATTCAACTCTGCAACTCTACACTGACAAGTAGTATGTTTTATTTTTAAAATGCAGACTAATTACCAAAAGTTAGGAAAACGTGCTTTGTAGTGAGCCAGCAAGCTTCATGAGAACATGAGTTATACCATGCTTTCACATACAGACCTCTATTACTGCATTTTCTTATTGTAGTTACAATTCATTGCTGTTATGTAACTCTGCTAAAACGTTATTCTATATATAGAAACTTGTGCCTAAAAATCTACATATTGTTGCTGGGTGTCTTCGAGTCAGTCCTGGCCCACAGCAGCAACCCTGAGCCCAACAGAGCAACGACTGCAGGCCCTGGGCCGCCCTCAGGATTGTTCCCATGCCGAAGTTCATGGTTGCAGCCATAGCGTTAATCCACCTCCTTGTGGGCCTTCCTCTTTTTCACCACCCCTCCACTTTACCAAGCATGAGGTCTTTCTACAGGGACTAGTCTATCCTGATAACACATCCAAAGTATGTAAGATGAATTCTTATCATCCTTGCCTCTGAGAAGCACTCTGGCCATACTCCTTCCAAGACAGATCGGTTTATCGTTTTTTCAGCCTGTGGTACTTTCAATTTTCTTCTCCATCACAATTCAGATGCATTCATTCTTCTTCAATCTTATTTATTCAATATCCAACTTTCTCACACAGCTGAGGAACAGAAAACACCACGGCTTGATCAGGAGCACCGTAGTCCTCAAAGTAACAACTTGCTTTTTAATACTCTTAAGAGGTCTTGTGCAGCAGATTTACCTAATGCAATGCATCTTTTGCTCTCTTGACTGCAGTTTCCATGAGAGTTAATTATGGACTCAAATAAGACAAAATACTTGACAACTTCAATCTTTTCTCCATTTGTAGTGATGTTACCTTGTGAGAATTTTGGTCTTCTTTACATTGAGTTATAATCCGTACTGAAGGCTGCAATCCTTGATCTGCACCAGCAAGTGCTTCAAATCTTCCTTACTTTCAGCAAGCAATCCTGATGCCACATTCTTCTTTGTAAAAGCCAGCTTCTCTGAGGATTTGCTCAGCATACAGAATGAATATGGTGAGAACACACAACGCTTTCCTGATTTTAAGCCATGCAGTATTCCCTTGTTCTATTGGCACAACTGCTTCTTGATCCATGTACAAGTTCTGGATGAGCATGATTCACAGAGGTGACCAAAATAATATGCAAATTAACAAAGGTGGCCAAAAAATGATAAACGGCCAATTTAAAACTAAGAATAGCACTTCGGGGACCTCGCCTCGCTCTCCTTCCCCGGGCCCATGCTGTGCGCAGACCTGGCTGGTAAGATCATGGCCATCTAGGAGCTGTGAGATTCTGGCTGTACGAGAATGATACCCTGACCCACTATCAAAGTGACTGAGGCGTCACCTTTTAGGATGTGGCATTCCAGTGTCACACAGCAGTGCCTCCTCCCCAATCTCCTTGCACCTCTTCAGCTCAAAGGTGCTGGCATGACAAGAGGCTGAACTGCCCTCCAAACTCACTGCGGCGATTCTGACCCAGCAACCCAATGGACAGGGCAGGGCTGCCTCTCAAAGGCCAACCTGACTGAAGCTCTCCTGAGCTGACCGAGCAGGCGGACTATGACCTGGAGACCATTGAGAACAAGGCGGAGTCCACCCTCGCCAAGCTGCCCAATGACCTCTCAGCCCTGCAAGGTTTCATGAAGGCCCTGCGCCTGGCCATGCAGGTGACAGAGCAAGCCAGCAAACAAATCAGCAGCAAGAAATAGCCCCAGTGAGGACTGAAATTAAATTTTAAATAATGGAAGTTTCCACAAATTTTTGAAGTCCCAGTATATCGCACAACTTTTGCCTGTTCAGATATGTACAGGTTTAAGCCTTATTGTCAATAATTACATCTGTTTGCAAACATGTAGTTTATCCATCACCACTAATCTCCACCACCCATTTTCTCTCTACTGACCCTAATAACCACTAATAAACTTTCATATCTTTATTATTTTAAATAGCACTTCATCAGGACAAGATGAGAAAATAAACTGTGAAAGTGATACTTATACCTAAATTAAAATGCAGTAAAAAATTGCAGTAATTGCAATATCAATCAGAACAAACAATTTCAAGCTTTTCTTAAACCTAAATTAAAAAAAAAACTTTACACAGAAGATCCCTCTGCTTTTAAACTCATTTTTCTTTATTTTAAAATCTTAATGGAAATTATTCTACATGCTAATATTCACCCCAAAAAAATTCCATAGTATTTTTAATATTGTGACTTTTTGAAATTAAATTACCAAACCTTTTTTATGAGGCACCTGGGTAGGTATGAACTTCCAGTTTTTCAGTTTGGAACTGAGTACAGAACTATTTTTATTTGTACCTTCTCGGGACTCTGCTAGTATTAATCAACCACCCTTGAAGCCTTATTCCTCTGTGAAACTATGAACTGAGGCCCAGCCTTGAAATCTCAGCTACCTTATGCTAAGATCATTACATAAATGGCACGAATGAGAAAAACAAGATGGTCTCTGCTTGAATATTATGGTACTCTTAAATTATGCAGTGTAAAATTAGTTAATGAAAACTGACATACTAATTTATATACAAAAATCATGAACCCTTATTTTCCTTATTAAGGGATAAGGAAATAAGTGAATTTTCTTATAAAGCAATAAAATATTAATGTTACCAGTATAAAAATCATCAAAAATCACTTTCTGTGATAATTCTGGGTTTAGCAGTTCCAATACATTTGATTTTTTAGTACGTTTACACTATACTATACTATAAAACATAAAGATATTTTAGTATCTAAATATAAGTAAATGAGTAAAAGATGTTTCAAAAATCTGCTAATGACTTTAGAAGTGGGGCTTAAAGAGTCTAGAAGTAAACATAAAAGTTCAAAGGAACTAGAGTCTTACTCAGTTTGAACTGAAAAAGGACTACAGCTAGACGAGTATTAAAGATGGATTCTTTGGCCTGCTTCCTCTCAGCTTCTACGCAGAACTGTCACTTCACTTCAAATGCATTCATGAGTCAGACTTCATGACTAATTATATAATAAATGGTACAGTTCTTTTCAGCATGACTAACATTGTTATATATGGTTATAGGAGCCCTGGTGGCTTGGTGGGTTACAAATTAGGCTGCTAACCTCAAGGTCAGCAGTTCGAGACCACCAGCCACTCAACTCTACAGGAGAAAGATGAGGCTTCCTACACTCATACAGAGTTACCTCTTAGAAAACCACAGGGGCAGTACTGGTCTGCCCTCTAGGGCGCTATGAGTCACAATCACGTGAGGACAGTGAGCGAACACGGTGTCACTAGTTACACGGGTGGGGGAATGCTGAGTCATACTCAGTAAGCCAATTGTATCTCCACTCTACAAAAGCAACAATATAACAGGCATTTTTAGTACCAAAGACCTTTAATAATTATCTTCTATATGAGAGTAAATAAAAAAGCATTGCTATAAAATCACAGATACCTTTCTCCAAAAAGTATCACACTGTGGGGCTGTTTCTCAACATCTCTTCTATCTACATCTATGCATTTTAAGGACAGTGTTTCCATCACTCCAGCCCACGCCCAAATTCTGCACTCTTCAATTTGGCAAGTCAAAATGGCAGATTTGATATCCTCAAAGGTTTCAAATAATTTTCCTTTTAAAAGTTCTTTGAATGTGGGAAACAACAGAAGTCTGAAGCAGGAAGAGTAAGGCTATAGGGTGGGTGGGGTAAGGTTTTCCTATGAAATTCTCAGAGGACAGCCATTGTAGCCCTTGAAGAGTGAACAGAGGCGCACTTCACAATGGGAGAAAAATTCCCCAGTGCAACTTCCCTGCCCTTTTGCTCACCAATGCAGTGTGAGATTTCCTAAAACTTCCCAACAAGCTCCTGGGAATGCTCTGTGTCCTTTGAAAAACTCTATCAAAACTGCCCCTTATAAATTACCCCAGCGTAGTCACCATAACCTTATGGGCTGAGCTCTCTGCTTTAAATGTAAACGGCCGAGGAGACTCCCTAGGAAAGCTCTGTTTCAATGGGGCCTTGTTTGTTTTTGGAAGGTACACTAATGAGACTAAACCAAGTGTAATGCTGAGAGAACCTGTCTGCAGCCATTCACGGATAGCACCTACAAGCTTCTGCATGTTTTGTTTAGGCAACGTTTGTCACGTATGTATGAACTGGACTCTTAGTAGTACTGCACTTTTACTTAGTCTTACATGCTAAAGACTCATACTGGCTAAATCATGGGGGGCAGGGAGCTCAGTATAATAATTCATTAAATGTACTGAGGCATAAACCATTTAAAAGTGTAATAGTTAAGAGTTCTAGCTATCACATAATAAACCAAAATAAACTCCAGATGGCTTAAAGCTTAGAATGTGAAAAGAGAAACTATAAAAAGTTACAGCAAAGTAGGATGATAAACATACATACAAAATCTTGAGAATAGGAAAGGATTTATAAAAACTAAAGGGAAAATACTGATAAACTCATTTGGCAAGGTAACAACTTTAAAATTTCATGTTCTAATTTAAATTACATGAAAATTTGTATATTTAACTTAAAAGGCAAATGATAAACTGGAAAAAATATTTGCAAAGGTAAATGTTAACTCTTTTAAATTAAATAATACAGGAAATTGGATTTTTTAAAAATGAATGCGAAATAATGTGCAATGAAAAAAGGCAAGTAATTCACAAACAAAAATCACATGTGTAATAGCAAAACAAGTAAAAAATGAAATAATTACCTTTTGTACTGATAGAATTAAGAGAATGGGCCCCCTCTCAGTCCCTGCTGATACTACATATTACTATCACTCTGGAGTAAATTAACAATGTATGTCAAGGTTGTAAAAATGTTCATTCTCCTATTAAATTTTTTCCATGTTTAGAATCACTGTATATAAATAATCTCAGTGGAAAATTAGGATAGATGCATAAGAATTCTACCTTGGTGTAGCATTATTCATAAACAAGAAAATCCACAAGATTAGATCAACTAAGAAAAAAAGTCCAAATGCACTGCGCCTGTGTTGATTCCTACTCAGGGTGACCTCAAGCATAGTTCAGAATACAACTGCAATCTTTACAGACGCTTACTGCCAGACTTTTCTTCTACAGTACCACTGGGTGGCTTTGAACTAGCAACCTTACGGTTATAGGTTTCACTAAGATTGTGAAACCCTGGAAATTCTAATTTGGGCATCAGTCAGTTTAGCTATCCTGATAGGTATAAAATGAGCCGTCACAGAAAAAGGAATAGGGGAGGGAAGGATCTCACCATCATCAAGAAAAACAAGCTAGAACTGGAGCACATCTTTTGGACCCTGAGATCCCTTATGCATTAAACAGCCTAGATCCAGGAACAGAAAGCTATGATAGCAGAGAAGTAAGAGTGAAACAAAGCAGCAATGTAAACGAGAAGTGGCAGCAGTAAAACCAAGTGCCATAGCAAAGCACTCCTTGGTCCGCGGTACAATGGAAGCTAAGTATCTTTGGGCAGGAAGCTTGCTTGTGGAGCCTCCAGACACTTAGCTGGGAAAGTGTGCTGTCTCAGCTACAATTCGCTTTCACGCTGAGGTTTATGGCATGTTCTTTCGGCACATACTGGCAGCAATGTAAGAGCTTTGTCACAATGCTTGAGCAGGTTGGAGGTCAAAGGCCAGAGGGCGGGGGCTGCCTGAGAAGCATGGCTGGGCATAAGATGTCCTGACTAAAGAACTGGGCCTGAACATTTCTGATCCTGGATTGTAACCTGTTATACTTATTATTGTTCTTGGTAGGTGTCATCAAGGTGGTTCTGACCCACAGTGACCCCACGCACAACAGAACAAAATACTGTCTGGTTTCCTGGGCCACCCTCACAATTGTTCTTATGTTTGAGCCACGGTGGCAGTCACTGTGTCCATCCATCTTACTGAGGACCTTCCTCTTTTCTTGCTGCCCTTCTACTTTACCAACACGCTGTCCTTTTCCAGGGACTGGTCTCTCGTGACAATATGTAGAAAGTATGTGAGGCGAAGTCCTTGCTTCTAAGGAGTACTCTGGCCGTACAACTAAGTCAGATCTATTTGTCCTCTCAGCAATCCATGGTATTTTCAATCTTCTTCTCCAGCACCACACTTCAAACGCACCAATTCTTCTTCAGTCTTCCTGATTCAGTGTCCACCTTTCACACGCATATGAGGCAATGGAAAATACCATGGCTTGAGTCAGGTGCACCTTTGTTCACAAGGTAATACTTGCTTTTTAATACTCTAAAGAGGTCTTGTGTGGCATATTTACCCAATGTGACATGTCATTTGATCTCCGGATGGCTCCTTCCATGAGCTTTGATTATGGATCCAAGCAAAATGAAATTCTTTGCAACTTCAACCTTTTCTCCATTTATTAGGCTGTTACTCTTTAGCTCGGTTGTGAGAATTTTGGTCTTCTTTATGAATTATAATCTATATGGAAGACTGGAATCCTTGATCTTCATCAGCAAGTGCTTCAGTTCCTCCTCACCTTTAGCAAACAAGATGAACATCCGTAATAAAGCCTATAAGGATGAATATGGCTTGTGAGTTCTGTCCAGCTAATGCAATGCATTATCAACCCAGGTAAGAAGCAGGAGGTGCTGTGGCAGGGGCAGTTGGTGTCAGAAGTGCTAAGAAGGCCGGAAGGTGAAGACATGCGTGATTTTCCTCCCTCTGGTGAAGTCAGAGGAGGTCAGATCCCACCCTTGTGCTATGTTTTAAACAGGAATAAAGACAACTCATACTAACCATTCTTCATTTGGGGTATTTATCTCTAAGCCATTAAGATAGATTACATTAAATATTTTCATATCAGCATAAAAATGCTTCTTACCTGCCAGTAACAAACTGCAGGAGAAGAACTCTCTCCTCCTGAGTAATATCTTCCACAACTTCCCAGAACCACTAACCAAAACAAAACAAAAAACTCTTAGCTCATATTTCAAAGCAATTGTAGATTCTTTAATACTAGAGAAGTATGCAATATTTATAAAGCATGTTTTATTCTATGAAACTCATTTATCAAAAGTGATTTTATACAAAGCCTTCATCTGAAATATTCCCATAAGAAGAATTTAGGGAAAATACTTTCCTTGGTTAATTAATGTAGGTTTTCATCCAATAGTGCTGCAAAGCTTACAAAATTAAAATAGCAAAACCTAACTTCATTCTAAGCTCTAGAGAGATTTTACCTGAATAACTGGATCTTCTCTTTCGTAGCCACTTGTGTATTCTGTATTTTTTATCCAATCACTCACATCAATTTCTGGCATGCCGGAAAGCAGTAACTCCTTTGGGGAAGAAGAAAAACATTTCATTAATCTTGGGTGGGTGGGGGGAGTTATTACATTTAAATAGTAGATTTGTCTTAATTAGAAACTAATCCCATGTAAAACTGATTTATTTTTGTGACAGCTTCTGCATGTCATCAATGACAAGCACAACATGGTCCAGAATCCTTGATACTAATGATCTCAAACACTGTAATGTATCTCCATATTGATATAATAAAATTAAAATATAAGAATGGGAGTATGTGCAATAATTTACATTTTCATCGAATATATGAACAGTGTTATGTTTGGTTTATTTTGTCCTTACAATTTATCTAGAAAGTTCACCTAGAACCTCTTACAAAGTAGGCAATAATAATGTTTTGTGTCCTTGTTTGTTCCAGGAAGATTATTAAACAAGCAAAAAACTCATTCAAATAATTAGAAATGAAATTAAATGGCAAAAGTTTCTACCATCATGTTTTCCAAAGGAACCGAGTATATGAAAAGAGCCTGTTCTCATTTCTGAATTCAGGCCGTATTTCACTGTTGGATGTGCTTCCATGGTCAGGTGAGGCAATTACTGGCCTGCACTTACTAACCCCACTGACACCTGGAACAATGTGATTTATGACAAGGGTGCAGAAACAATGTGATTCAAACCAATGTCACAGCAGTATCTGCTGGCAATATATGCTGGCTTAGTAGAGTATGCGTTGAACAAGATTCATAAGGCAGTGTCTAAGGACCCCTGAGAGCTTTCAGGGTGTCTGTGAGGGTCTCCTCTTCCATCTTTATCTGTGGGAAGTTGGATTTTCTTCATACACTCCAACAAAACAACAGAGCAAGAAACAAAGAACCAAACTCTCTGCCATCGAGTCGATGCCAACCCATAGGGGTGATTGGGGGCTGCGAACTTCAGACCTTGACAACTGCAGTCACTATGCCACCAGAGCTACTAAACAACATTATCACAAAGGGCTATGTGCAGAACAAGCCAGCTGTCTTTTATTATGTCACACCGTAAAGAGATGTGTCTCGGCATAAAAGAACGCCACTCTTTCCACTATAGTTTTACAATTTTATTCATTAATATTCACATTTAATGAATTTTAGAAGTATTTATTTTATATGAATAATGTGTTTTAAGTGTCTTAATTCATATGGAACAGCTGTCAATTTGCATAACTCACATAAATGAAAAGCTTGTTGTTAAACCAAAACCAAACCAAACTCCCTGCCACAGACTTGGCTCTGACTCATAGGGATCCTGTGGAGGGTTTCCAACACTGTAAAGTCTTACACAAGTGGACAATCTCGTCTTAAGGAGCGCCTCTTGGTTCGAACTGCTGGCCTTGTGTGGCTCAGCAGCCCAATATGTAAAGCACTATAGCATCAGGGCTTCTTTCATCTACTAGAAGCATTTGACAATGCTGTGATGAAGCCCTATACTAGTTGTCCATCTTTTGGGTTTTAGGGCCCCTTTAATGAAACTGTTCTGGTTGGTCTCCAGAGACCAACCTCAAATGCATTCTTTACCTGCCTTTGCCCTGTTCGATGCCCTAGGAAAATGGCTCCTCAGGCTAGACTCGCTTTGCTGCTACCTTCAGGTTGGGTTCCGTCACTGGGAAATGCAGGTCAGGGTACACTTGGCTCCCTCCTTGCCCCTACAGCTTTGCAGCCCGTTTGATAGTTCTTTATTTGAGCCACCTGGGGAGAATTCTGTTCCCTGGTAAGACCCTGATAAAAGATCAGCAAAAGGGAATGGGGCTGGATTTGCTCATTTCTTAAATACAGATTTTAATCCTTCTCTCTTCTAGGTTGAAGATAAATCTTTAATAATATTAAGTACGCTTTTGCTGTTCATAAATATGAATAAAAATAAGTGATACTATATTCACATAGAATTTGACTTTATGATAAGGTAACCAGATTTTAACATTGATAAAGCAGGACACCATTGATAAAACTCATATCCTGGCGAAATAGCCACATGGCAGCCGAAAACCATATACCCTAGCTTGTCGTGCATTCTTTCCAAAAATCGGGACTTTTAAAAACTGCCACGGGACATGGGAAAAATTGTTAAAAATCGGGACTGTCCCGCCAAAAGCGGGATGTCTGGTCACCTTAATCATTATTCAAAGCATCAATTCCTTAGCAGTCTTCTTTACTCCTTGCCCAACACTGACCTGAAGGGATCGAAAATATCATGGTCAGGCACACCTTAGTCCTCAAAGTAACATCTTTAATTTTTCACACTTCAAAGAAGTCTTATGCAGATTTGACTTATTAACTGCTGCTCCCATGAACACCGACTATGGATCCAAGGAAGATAAAACCCTTGACAATCTATCTTTTCTCCAGTTATTAGGATAGTGCCTACTGGCCCTCCTGTGAGGTTTTGGGTTTTCTTTCCACAGACTTGCAATCCACACTGAGGGCTGCAGTGTTTGATTTTCATCAGCAAGGGCTTCAAATCCTCCTCACTTCTAGCAAGCAAGGTTGTGTCATCTGCCTATCGAAGGTTATGGATCAGCCTTCTTCCAATCCTGATGCCGTCTTCTTTAGAGAGTACAGCGTCTCAACTATTTGCTCAGCATACAATTTGAATAAGTAAAGTGGGAGGACACAACCCTGACACACACACCTTTCCTGAGAACGACTGACTCTTGGTCTATGTACAGGTTCCACTTAAGCAAAATGAAGTATTCTAGAATTCCCATTCTTCTGAAAATGACTCATAGTTTGTTATGACCCACTCAAATTCCTTTTCATGGTCAATAAAACACAAGTAAACCTCTTTCTGCTTTCATGCAAAATCCATCAGCAATGATAGCCCTGAATCCAGCTGAATTTCTGGCAGCTCCCGGCCAATGCATCCTTTCTTAAAAAGTACCGTACATACTCGTGTATAAGCCAAGTTTTTTTTTTTTAATTGTCTCTTTTTTTTTTTTCATATCTTTTTTTTTTTTACATTTTATTAGGGGCTCATACAACTGTTATCCCAATCCATACACACATCAATTGTGTAAAGCGCATTTGTACATCGTTTCTCAAAACATTTTCTCTCCATTTAAACCCCCTACATTAGGTCCTCATAAGCCAAGTTTTTTTAAAGCACAATTTTTATGCAGTTTTGTGGTAAAATTGGGTGCCTCGGCTGATATTTGGGTAGGCTTATACTCAAGTATATACGGTATCTTCAGGAGATTATCTTCAGGCTGAACTTCTTCCAAGACAAATTTGTCTTTCCTTCTGGGAGTCCACAGAACTTTCAGTACCTTCTTCCCACACTCCATGATTCGAGGGCACAAGTCTTCCCAGTCTTCCTTACTCACTGTCCAGCTTTCAAAGCAGACGAAGCAACAGAAAACAGGGCTTGGTTCAGGCACACCTTAGCTCTCAAGTGGCGTCTTTACTCGTTAACACTTAAAAGAGGTCATGTACAGCAGATTTACCCAATGCATTGTTGTTTGATTTCTTTGTTATTAAACTTTTTATTGTGACTTACAGAAATCATCAATTTCACATTCAACAATTTATACACATTTTGTTTCAATATATCCATTCCAAGCCCCTCGATGTACCATCACCAACCATCTCACTTCCTCCTGGTGTTTCTTGTTTCTATTACTCGTCTTGTCCTAAACCTCTGACCCTAGGTAAATGCTGCCTTTTTATCTTAAACTGTGGACTATTCTAACTAGGGGGTGAATTCAGATCCCCTTATGGCAGTAGTTCTCAACCTTGCTAATGCCGTGACCCCACACACACAACCATAAAATTATTTTCTTTGCTACTTCCTAACTGTAATTCTGCTACTGTTATTAATCAGGCGCCCCCTGTGAAAGGATCATTCGACCCCCAAAGGGGTAGCGACCCACAGGTTGAGAACCGCTGCCTATGGACACCTGATATCCATAATCTTAGGTCCTCACCAGTCTGTATTTAACCAATATGCCTGGGCTCTTTCTTCACTGGATTCTTGACAGCTGTTGACTCTGGAGCCAACAAAATAGAACCCTTGACAACTTCCATCTTTTCTCTGTAATTATTTGGTTATTGGTCCAATTGTGAGGATTATGTTTTGTTTACTATTGAGTTGTAATCCAAAGTGAAGGCTATAGTCATTGGTTTCATCAGCAAGTGCTTCATGTCCTCCGCACTTTCAGAAAGCCAGGTTATGTCTATGTCTGGTGCAGCGCAAAGCCCAGGTTGTCAATGAGCCTCCTTCCAACCCTGACGCTGCAGTCTTCGTTAAGGAGCCCCGCTTCCTAGATTACTGGCTCAGCATACAGACCGAGTAACTATGGTGAAAGGACACGGGCCTGGCACATACCTTTCCTGATTTTAACCAATGCCCTATCCGCTTGTTCTTTGTCAACTACTGCCTCTTGGTCTACATACACAGGTTCCACATGAGCAGAATTAGGTGTTCTGAAATTCTGATTCTTTGCAATGTTATCTATCCGTAGTTTATTACAATCCACACAGTTGAGTGGCTATGCACAGTCAATAAACACAAGGAAATACCTTTATGGCACTGTTTACTTTCAGTTGAGTATAATGACATAAAGTTTAAAACTAAGAATGTCTAATCTATACAATTAGAACTGTGGAGAGCAGTCACCCTGCAGCGGTGACAGTGACGTCGGTGGACATAAGGAACATTTCTGAGGTATTGTGCTTGCCCTGTTTCTTGACGTGGGTTCTGATTCTATGGGGGTGTCCAGTTTGCAGAAATCCATCAAGTGAAAAAATTTAAATATGTGTACCTTATTGGATATAAATTATCCTTCAGCAAAATTATTTTTTTCTTTCTTTTTTTTTTTTTCCTTTTTTAATACCACTCTGGATTACAGGTTGCTATGATGCTGGGAGGTTTATCACTGGTATTTTAAATACCAGCAGGGTCAGCCACTTGTGACGGGCAGGCTTCAGTGGAGATTACAGCCTAAGACAGACGAGGCAGAAGGAAGAAGCAGTCCACTTCTAAAACAAATCGGCCTATAAAAACGTTATGACTAGCCCTGAACATGGCCAGATATAAAGCTAAAAGATGATGTCCTGTGGTGAGACGGCATTCTAAATGGGAGCAGAGAAGAGCTGAGTCAATGTTAGCAATCTGAGGGAGTAAAATTCTGCTGATGAGGTGTGACTGAAAATGAGAAGAAACAGCTCCGAACATCCATTAATAATCTGAACATGGAATGTACAAAGTGTGAATCTAGGGAAATTGGAAGTTGTCAAAAATGAAATGAAATGCAAAATGATCAATAACCGAGGCATTATTGAGCTGAAATGAAAAGGTGTGGGTCATTCTGAATCAGATAATTATATGGCTTACTACGTTGAATGAGAAATGGAAGAGGCATGGTGTCACATTCACCATCAAAAGCAAGATCTCTTCAGAAGCACAATGCTGTACGTGACAGAATAAGATCTACCCACCTCCAAGACCACCAACTTGGGGCTTTTACTTAGATTGACATGCCAATCACTAATGAGAAGCTGAAAAACTGAAGATTTCTACCAAGTTTTTCTGTCTAAAATTGATCAAACATGCAACCAAGATATATTGACAATTGCTGGTGATTGCAATGCAAAAAATGAAAACAAGAAGGATTAGTTGCTGGAAAACATAGAAACTATGCCAATAAGCAACACTGTGATAAACAGAGAAAAGACTGAAGTTGTCAAGGATTTCATTTTAATTTGGATCCACAAACAACATCCATGCAAACAGCAGTCCAGAAAGCAAAAGACATATGGCTTTGGGCACGTCCGTCACAAGAGTTTTCTTCCAAGTGCTCGAAAGTAAAACTGTCACTTTGCAAACAAAGGGCAGTCTGACCTAAGTCATGGTATTTTAACCACCCGGTATCCGTGTGCAAACCGGGCAATGAATAAAGCAGACCAAAGTGGAATGGATGCCTGTTCGTCAGGGGGTGGGGAAGGCATGTCCTGCAGACTGCCAGAAAAACAACACGTCTGTGTTGGAAGACGTCTAGTCACAATGCTTCTTGGAAGGAAGGGGAGATTTTGTCTCAGAAACTTTGGACATGGTATCATGTTTAATACAGTAGAGGGTCAGCAAAAGAAGAACCCCGCCACGATGGACTGAAATACGAGGGTGGGACAACACTGGGCTCCAAGATGAGGACAGCACAGTGCTCTGTCGACTACCCCTGTGGTAGCTATGGCTCAAAACCAACTCTGGGCTTCTAACAATAAGGCAAAGTTTTGGTCACGTATTTTGGTTATAGCTATTTGTTTTCTTATTCACATGTCCAGGAACTAACATACTTCTCTGTTTTCAACTGAAGTCAGACCTCAGTCGTGCCTCATTCGTTCCCAGGTATTCCTTCATTTAAAAATGCTAAACATACTTTTATATTATACTAATATACATAATATATTTAATAATAATCTTAACTATGCAAATATTAGGAATCCATGCTAAACCAAACCACTAATCTTAAAGTTAAAACCACAATAGGAGAAAGCTGTAATACATGATATCCAATGAAATTACGTAATTGACTTTAATATTAACTTTTCAATTTTTTCACTACTACACTAAACTGCGGTGTTGATAGCTACTGTTGAGAGTCAGCTCCCCCTCCTTGGGATCCCATGCATAACAGGTCGGAGCCATCTTGAAGGTGGTTGGTATGCTCCGGTCCAGTGGGCACCTCTTCCAGCACTAGATCAGAGGACATTCTATTGTGATTCAAACAGGTTTTATTGGCCAATTTTCAGAAACAGATCACCAAGCCTTTTTATGCATCTGTCTTACTTGGATGCTCCACTGAAGCCTGTCCACCATGGGTGATAGATACTGGATTTCATTAGGATATGAAATACTAATGGCATAGCTTCCAGAATCAGAGCAACATGTAAGCAACACAGTATGACAACTGACGGACAAATGTATACTAGTAAACTAAGATATGCTATGCATGACAAACTGAAAATACAGCTCAATATAAAAACTGAAGGTATGTATTAGTGTACTTATTCACATATTAAAATGAAAAATGGTCAAATTATTTTTGTGAGACAGGATAAAAACAAATAGAATATTTTTCTAAGAATCTAGAATTCCCAAATGATGGCAACAAATGTACAAATGTGCTTGACACAATGGATGTACATATGGATTGTGCTGAGTTGCACGAGCCCCCAATAAGATGATTTTTAAAAAGGAGAGCGAGAATCTAGAATTTCCTACTACAAATGATTTTTAACAGTACTGCCATCAAGTCAATGCCAACTCATAGTGACCCTGAGACGAGGGAGAAGTGACCCCGTAGGTTTCAGAGACTGAAATTCTTTATGGGAGTACTACGGTCTTTCTAAAACAGTGTTTTCTTAAAAGTCTGAAGACAGTGGATAAAGAAAAAAGCAAAAACGGAAGTGGAGAATAATGTATATTTAATCATAGAAAGTTAGAAATGCTTTTACATATTTAACAAAAGGGAGACAAGCATTCCTTGGGGACTAAACGGTCAAAAGCAAAAGTAAATAGATGGTAAAGTAAGGTAAAAAGGAAACACAAGAAACACCCTCTTAATCGGTTCTTCTTTCCAGAAATACAAGAAGTTAGTATCAGCATTTCTTACCTCATATAACCAAATAATAAATTCAAAAGTAGTATGAATATTGCTTATGGGAAAGCTGGCCGTCAATAACACTGAGACATTAGAAATGCATCTGTCTACCATCATCTCACATTAAGGAGCTGCTGCTTGGTAATTGCGCTTAAGACAAGCCCAACTGCAACGCTCAAAACAAGTCTTTAAACATAAACGTTAAATCATAATGTCTCCTTATGCATTATCCATTCATCACAGTCGTCAAAATTATTTCTAAAATATACCAACTGGAGTTTTGTGTGTAGTTAACAACAGAAGAACTGATATTTTTCCTTACCAATTCATATTCATCAAAAAGTTGGATAAGGGAAGGCGGGATGAACATATGAAATCCCTGTAAGAAAGCATTGATCTGAGGCTGAATGGCTCGTGTCATTCGAAGTTCAGTAACGAGCTGCACATATTCTGCCTATAAAGAAAAACAAGTAATTCTGTGATTTTTAAGAAACCTTTTTGCAGATTATTGTAATAAAACTTAATTGCTCATTTAAAGACCAATGCCTACAATTACATTAGTATTCACATAACTCAGAAAACAGTAAATCACCATTCACTAAGCTCTTTAACCCAAATTCCTAGTTAACCAGAAAAACAAACACTCACTGCCATCAAATCAATGTTGACTCACTCATAGCAGCCTCCTGCGGGTTTCCGAGACTCTAACTGTTTATGGGAGTAAAAAACCCAGTCTTTCTCCCTCGGAGCTGTTGGTGGTTTCAAACTGCCAACCATGAGGATTGCAGCCCAATGTATAACCACTATACCACCAGGGCTACTAAATTCCTGATTTTTCTCTCACATCCTATGTTAAGTGAATACTATCAGATTTACCTTTTTTAAAATGTTCATTATGACCTTCTCTCTCCACCTCCATTTTCAGCATCCTGGTCCAAGCTATTATCATCTCTCACCTGGATTAATACATGAGCTGGTATCCTTGCTTCCAATCTTGCCTTTGCACTGCTTCTCCTTCATGGTAAAGTGATTTTTTAACACAGCCTAATTCACACCTCTTCAAACACCTGACCATGGCTTCCTATGACACCTCCAGTCAAAGTCAGAGTCCTCACCCAGTCTACAAAGTCGTTTTCCTGATCTCATGTTCTTCCGCTCACTCCTCCGGATTCAACTCTAGCTTCACTGGCCTTCCTGCAAGTCGTTCAGGCTTCAGGCTCGCAGTCTTTATTCATCCTGGTCTCTCTTCCTGAAATGCCTTACAATGTCATCTCCCTACAGGGAACGGCTTCATTTGTTCATGAACATGTAACCCACCCCCTTCAAAAGTGGCTGTCTTAAAATTATTTAATAAAATGATGATGAATGAACACACACATTCATCAAACTCATCTAATACATACATAGAATTTGCTGAAATGGCTCCTCTTTAAACAAAACCCATTCTATTCTAAGTTAGATAAGCAATTGACAAACAAGCCTTTTATTTTAAAAATATATCCTCATCATCCTAAAATCTCTTAAAATTCAACTGGCAATAAAAGATATATTTTGGCTCAGACGAGAAGCAATTATCAAAGATACTTATCAGCCATATTATCTCTATACTTTTTTAAATAACTTCTAAGCAAAACTTCATGTGTTAAAGCAATATGCTGCATAAAGTTCTCACCTCCCAGGAATGAATATATACACAGAAGAGAAAAAAACAACAACCCTGTTTTAGCCCCTTCCCTTTATTCTTTCTTGGCACTAATCTGATGCAGTGTTCAGAAAAAGAAAAGAAAAGAAAGCAGGCACTGAGCCAGCAAGTTATACATGACTGCTGGCTATGAGTTCTCAGTACCGCTCAGAGCACAGAAGCGTCCCTGTGGAGTCCTCGCCACCCTCGCCAGCCTCAGGTGGCTGCTGTGCGACCTGGCACAGGCCAAGCAGCCATCTTCGCTATTCTTCCTTTCCACGTGCCCAAACCCCACTGCTACCACCTAACGGGCTTCCTCCAGCATGCAGGAATCAATCAATTACAAGCTACATCCAGCTCATTACTGTACAGTAGCAGAAATGCACGTCAAACACTCAGACCAAAGCATGCACTAGCTAGCTCTTCTGTGTCCTACTAGAGAGATAATAATATGTATTTAACACACTTCCAAGTATGATCAGCAGCGAGTTTACCATTATCCCATGATTGTCTTTTCGTTTCTTTTGGCCTTAACTAAAATTGTAGCTGGAGTATGTTGTATTTTTCTACCCTACTTATCCATTAATCCTCTATCTACGTGTTTATGGTGCTATTTGGAAGCTGTTGGGCGCCATCAATTTGATTCTGACTCATAGTGATCCCAAAGTAGAAGGGCCCCATAGGGTTTTCTAGGCTGGAATCATTACAGGGTTTTCTCCTACCAAGCTGCATGGTAGATTTAAACTGCCACCCTTACAGTTAGAGGCCAGGAACTACAGCGGCACGCCACCGGGCCTTTGTGAGATCTAATTGTCCTTAAACAGGAATGGCTTTCCCCTAGAGTGTGCCTTTTATAATCTCAGTTTCAAGATTTTTACAAATTATGAAGTAAGAAAATGAAAGATTTGCCATTTGCTCAAGTACTCGCTACCTGCTTTGTTTGCCATTGCATGCCATCTCTACAAGCATGCGGCGCATCAACCAGGAACTGGACCTGGGTCTCGCACATGGAGGGAGGGATTTGACCACTGAACCTCCCGCTGCTTTCATTGATTCCTATCATTTCCCCAAACATTCTTTTTTTAAATTACTTTTTATAAGTATATTAATCTCTTTTTTTGTAATCCTCTTCTGTTTCTTCCGATATTATTTATTTTCTACATTTATTATAATAAGTCTGGTCTATAGTTATTGCATTATCAATTTATGAAAACCAGCTCCTTCAGGTCCCAGTCTCTGTATTAATTAAGCAATTGGTTTAAATTATTTTTTAATATAAAATAATACAACCCAACTTATTACAAACTCTCCAGTTACCCAGATAGATGAAAGATAATTGCATCCAAGTAATAAAACCATCTGAATCTGAGTTTTTCTAAGACACCAGGTCACATACATAATATATAAAGTGCATATGTAATGGATAGTTATCCCCGACTTCTTAAAGAGTACAAAAATGGAGTAACACAAAGTGAGCATTACCACTGTGGACATTTGCCAGGCTTAAAGGCTATCAACATCCATTACTATGATGAGCTAGGGTTTCCATTGTTCCCATTGTGTAGAAACACATTTGTTTCATTTCTATTATCTATGACAGTACCCCAGTGACTCACTTTATACACTTGCATACTATGTCAAATATTTTACATGTTTTAAGGAAACTGTGCGGACAAGTATGACAATGGATGCACAGAACTCTAAGAACTCACAAAATTAAACTTCAAAAAAATAACCCTAAGACCCCACTTTATTCAAAAGTGGTATAACTTGGAGAAAGAAGGGCTGTCTTTCATCGCCCACGGTGACATCTATGAGAGTCATTTCTGCTACCAAATGAGTTTTGTTGTCAATTGTTAGAAGGTGCAACATAATACCAGAGGATACAATGTAAACTGGAGAACCAACTAAGGAATCCGTACTTTAAACTGGTGAACAGCTACGATGACCTACAGAACGTGTCAGATGTAGACACCCTCAGCCTAAAGGCCAGGTGCTGGTAGGAAATAAAGCCCTCACACCTTTGTTCCCGTTTAACTTCTGACCCCAAAAGCTGAAACATGAGAGGCAAACATCAGTAACTGCAGAGGGAAAACTAAAAGTATTAAGCCTAGGAAGACCCAACTTTCAAAGATCATGCTCCAGTTGCATGGCTAGCTACAGAAAAGCTGTTTCAAAACCTTCCAGACTAAGTGTACACCAGATAACATCCCAATACTTCTTCTCAAAGAGCTCCCCAAATTTTTTTTCAGTTTGAAAGTTTTATTGGCATATACTTCAAATTTCACACTATTTAATGATTCGGTCATATTAAGAAGACTTACGCAATCATTACCACAATCTGCCTTCTCGTGCTCATTGTTAACTCCTCATTTCACCGGAAAGCTCCCTTGCCATGCCCGTAGGTAATTACTGATCCAGTTCCTAGAGATTTATCTACCTTGGATTTCATTTACAGAAAATCATACAAACAGGAAGCAAGCAAACAAAACATCAACGACGAAACAAAACAAAGAAAAACCTCCATCAAAAGAAAGAAGAAAATATTAAAACTGAAGCAACTTTAAAGTGGTTCAAAAGAAAAATTGAATGATAAAGTATTCCATTTTAACCTAACTACATTGGCCACAATGGACTTTGCAATGCACTCTGTCTGACAGAAAAGTTATTCACCTCTCGGGACTATGCTCAAAAATTCCCTAAAAGCGTCATCCATGTGGGGACTCTGCCAACCGATTTTGGGCTTCCACTGTCATCCATAGCCTTCTACAAACCATGTGTTCCAATTTTAAGCTCTGATACAATTCCCTCCGTTGGAATTGGATTTTACTACTTACAGTGCATACATCACACAGGTTGGTGTGCTTCTTTCATGTGAACTTAGTTGATGGCTCACTGAGATGGCTGCTTGTTTAAAGACAGACCTGTAAGGACCCAGATGCTATTCTTGCTGACAGCCAGGCACCATCTGGTTTCTTCGCCACTCTTTGCTATAGCACTCATATCTTCAGTGATCTATTTATGAGGAAGAGTATCAAGTAGGGCCATGTCATAAGAGCTAATTGTTCTTGAACTGGGACTAGAACTAAGTAACAGCCCCAAATTGACTCAATATATTTATAGTCTATATCTACTCTAGTTCACTATAGAGCTATCATTTTCTTTTTGTGGTTGAGAACTTTATAAATCATCCCCTGGGATAGAAGGTATCTCCTGATGTTGCAGTGAGGTGCAACTAGGCCTGTGAAGACCCACAGTGACTCTCTGCACAACAGGACAAACACCGCCCGGTCCGCCGCCATCTGCACAACTGTTTCTGTGGCTGAGTCCACTGCAGGAGTCACCCTTTCTCACCACCACCACCCCCCCTTCACCCAGCACGAGGTCCTTCCCCAGGGACCAGTCTCTCCTGACAACGTGTCCAAAGCGTCTAAGCATTATCCTGGCCGTACTTCTTCCAAGACAGATTGATATGTCCTTTTAGCAGTCCACAGTTCTTTCAACAGTTTTCTCCAGCACAATTCAAATGCAAATGCATCAGTTCTTCAGCCTTCCTCATTCCATGATTCCATGTCCAACTGTCACATGTGTGATGCTGCAATGGAGAATGCCATGGCTGGGGTCAGGCAGACCTCAGTCCTCAAAGGAACAGCCTTGCTTTTCCATACTCTAAAGAAGAGGTCTTGGGTAGCAGATGCACCTAATAGAACTTTTTATCCATTTTCGTAAAATCTTTTTTCTCCGCTTGTCTTTTGATCTCTTGACTGCTGCTT